TCCTGGTGTCCCCATGTGTCTCTGTGTGTCCCTGTGTGTCCCTGTGTGTGTCCTGGTGTGTCTCGGTGTCCCCATGTGTGTCCCCATGTGTCCCGGTGTCCCTGTGTGTCCCTGTGTGTCCCCGTGTGTGTCCCCGCGTGTCTCTGTGTGTCACCATGTGCGGTGTCCTGGTGTGTCTCGGTGTCCCCATGTGTGTCCCCGTGTGTGTCCCCGCATGTCTCAGTGTCCCCGTTTGTCCCTGCGTGTCCCCGTGTGTCACCATGTCCCTGTGTCCCGGTGCCCCTGTGTGTCACCGTGTCTCCCCGGTGTGTCACCATGTCCCGGTGTCGCTGCGTGTCACCGTGTGTAAGCGTGTGCGGTGTCCTGGTGTGTCCCCATGTGTCCCTGTGTGTCAGCGTGTCCTGCTGTGTCACTGTGTCACCGTGTGTGTCCCTGTGTGTCCCTCCGTGTCACTGCGTGTGGTGTCCTGGTGTGTCCCCATGTGTCCCCGTGTGTCAGCGTGTGCAGTGTCCTGGTGTGTCCCCGTGTGTCAGCGTGTCCTGGTGTTTCACTGTGTCACCGTGTGTGTCCCCGTGCGTCACCGTGTCCCCGTGTGTGTCCTGGTGTCCCCGTGTGTCCCCGTGAGCCATGTCCCCACGTGTCCCCATGTGTCCCCGTGTCTCCCTGTGTGTCACTGTGTGTCCCCGCGTGTCCGTGGTGTGTCCCGCGTGTCCTGATGTCCCCGTGTGTCAGCGCATGCGGTGTCCCTTTGTGTCCCCATGTCCTGTGTGTCACCGTGTCCCCACATGTCCCCGTGTGTCCCTGTGTGTCCTTGTGTGTTCCTGTGTGTGCTGGTGTGTCCCCATGGGTCCTGGTGTCCCTGCGTGTCACCATGTGTCCCTGTGTCCCCATGTCCCGGTGTGTCACCATGTCACTGTGTGTCACCGTGTGTTCCTGTGTCCCTGTGTGTCCCTGTGTGTCCCTGTGTGTCCCTGTGTGTCCTTGTGTGTTCCTGTGTGTGCTGGTGTGTCCTGGTGTCCCCGTGTGTCACCATGTGTCCCTGTGTCCCCATGTCCCCGTGTGTCACCATGTCACTGTGTGTCACCGTGTGTTCCTGTGTCCCCGTGTGTCCCTGTGTGTCCTTGTGTGTTCCTGTGTGTCCTGGTGTGTCCCCATGGGTCCTGGTGTCCCCGCGTGTCCCCGTGTGTCAGCGCATGCGGTGTCCCTGTGTGTCACCGTGTCCCCGCGTGTCCCTGTGTGTGTCCCTGTGTCCTGTGTCCCTGTATCCCGTGTCCTGGTGTCCCCGTGTGTCCCACGTGTCCCGGTGTCGTGCATGTCCCTGTGTCCCATGTCCCCGTGTGTCCCCGTGGTGTGTCACACGTGTCCCATGTCCCGGTGTCACGCGTGTTGCCCGCAGGCTCGAAGGCGCGCAAGATCCCGTACCCGACACGGAACCCGTTCACCTGGCTGTTCCTGCTGGTGTCCTGCCCCAACTACACCTACGAGGTCACCGGGACATGGGGACACTGGGGGGACATTGGGGACACTGGGGACA